CCCAGTAATTGCCCTCCTGGGATGAAAGGTGCTCCAGTACAGTAGGAATTGCTGTGCTTTCACTCTTTGGATCCCCTCTTTCCAAGCAGGATTTTTTTAGGGATGCTCTGCCCCTTCTTCTCAGGGGAAGCAGCACGTCCAGAGCTGCTGTCACCACCCAGAGCAGAACACTGGGGTGTCCTGGTGACTTCCAGCAAGTGGTGAGAACATCCACACTGGTTGAGCAGGAGGGGGTTTAGCCCTCTGAGTGAAGATTTCAGTTTTGACTTGCTGGAAAGAAAAAAATTGGGTGGATTCCATGTTAAAAGCTGTTTTCTCACCCACAGGAAGACCTGGAGGGAACAAACCAGTTTTGAACACAGTGTTTGTTTATTTTACTTCTGGAGCTTGAGAGGGGGGGAGAACAAAAAAAAAGGACTTTGCATCAAATTGCAGTGATTTTCTTGTCTTTCAGCATGATTTCAGAACATGGATCTTGAGAGGAGTTCTGCTTTTTAGGGTTGTTTTAGCCCATGTTGGTGTGCAGGACCTCCTGGGGAGGAGGAAAGTTGCCTGAGCTTCTGGCTGGGTTTTGTGTGTGAGGAGCTTCAGCAGCCCAGCTGGGTGGGTTTGGGGGTCAATCATCCAGCAGTGCATGCAGAAATATGAGTTGTAGCCATTGGCCCCTGCCAGCCCCAACCTGGGGATGGTTTTATTTTTGTCTCTCGGGGCCAGTCAGGAACTCAGCAGCAGAGACACATTTTGGATGCATCTCTTGATGCAGAAGAAACTTGATAGGGAAGCTCTTTTTAAAATCAGCCTTAGGAAGGTGAAAGAGGCCCTAAAACACCTTTGATCAAATGACTCTGTATTTCACCCTGGATTTAGAGAGCCAGGCAGTGGGAGGTGGTGCCAGCAAACAGGGGAACCCCTCTGTGGCCCCTTCTGCACCTTTTGCCAAAGGCTTTTCCTGCAGGCAGAGGCCCTGGATGTCCCTCTCTGCTGAGGGGCAGGCAGGGCCCTGGGGAAGGAGGGCTGGAAGCTGCACAAGTTGCCCTCCCTCCCAGATCCCTGGGGTGATCCTCCTGCTTGGGAGGGCAGGACCCTTCGTGGGTCCTTCTCCATGGTGTTGCTTCCACAAAACACTCACCTGCCCAGGTGTGACCATCTTTCCCTGCCCTGGCAGTGGGTGGATGTGAACGAGGATGCCCTGCACTGCTCAGGCATTCCCAGCCTTGTTGGAGAGACCTCCAGCCTCTTAGCTGCTGTCTCTGTGCTCCATCCCTGCCTGCCTGCAGCAGGGAGCCCATTAAAGGTCCATATGTTTCCCATTAGCATCTTCCAGTTGGTGCTGGGGGTGCAGGACCCACCACCTGGGAGGTTCCCCTGCTCCAACCACGAGGCCAAAGCCACTGGCCCAGTAATTGCCCTCCTGGGATGAAAGGTGCTCCAGTACAGTAGGAATTGCTGTGCTTTCACTCTTTGGATCCCCTCTTTCCAAGCAGGATTTTTTAGGGATGCTCTGCCCCTTCTTCTCAGGGGTTTGGATCCCCCCTTTCCAAGCAGGATTTTTTAGGGATGCTCTGCCCCTTCTTCTCAGGGGAAGCAGCACGTCCAGAGCTGCTGTCACCACCCAGAGCAGAACACTGGGGTGTCCTGGTGACTTCCAGCAAGTGGTGAGAACATCCACACTGGTTGAGCAGGAGGGGGTTTAGCCCCCTGAGTGAAGATTTCAGTTTTGACTTGCTGGAAAGAAAAAAATTGGGTGGATTCCATGTTAAAAGCTGTTTTCTCACCCACAGGAAGACCTGGAGGGAACAAACCAGTTTTGAACACAGTGTTTGTTTATTTTACTTCTAGAGCTTGAGAGGGGGGGAGAACAAAAAAAAAGGACTTTGCATCAAATTGCAGTGATTTTCTTGTCTTTCAGCATGATTTCAGAACATGGATCTTGAGAGGAGTTCTGCTTTTTAGGGTTGTTTTAGCCCATGTTGGTGTGCAGGACCTCCTGGGGAGGAGGAAAGTTGCCTGAGCTTCTGGCTGGGTTTTGTGTGTGAGGAGCTTCAGCAGCCCAGCTGGGTGGGTTTGGGGGTCAATCATCCAGCAGTGCATGCAGAAATATGAGTTGTAGCCATTGGCCCCTGCCAGCCCCAACCTGGGGATGGTTTTATTTTTGTCTCTCGGGGCCAGTCAGGAAATCTCAGCAGCAGAGACACATTTTGGATGCATCTCTTGATGCAGAAGAAACTTGATAGGGAAGCTCTTTTTAAAATCAGCCTTAGGAAGGTGAAAGAGGCCCTAAAACACCTTTGATCAAATGACTCTGTATTTCACCCTGGATGCCAGACTAGAGGGATTTTCTGTGTTGGTCTTATCATGTTTCAAAACTGGGTCTTAGTGCAGGGACCCTGTTATCATTTCAGCTCCAGAGCCACCATCACTGCTCTATAACAGAGACCTCCACAGCCACCACCTCTCCCACCAGCTGAACACCCCTGAGATGGGTTTGTCCTGAGGGACATGCTGGGATTGGGTCAGAAATGGGACCAGGGGATGGTGGGGAGATCCAGGACCATGAGGAAAAGCCAATTTCTAAGCAGATCCTTTGACTGCAGGAGGGACTTTGCAAGCAGAAAGGCTGATGGGTTTGTTTTTTTCTCTACAGCTTTTCCTGTTGGAAGTTTAAGTTAGAATTTTGAAGGAAGGGAGATGAAAACTGAAAAAAAAACCCAACCCACCACCTTTTTATTTTTTTTCCCCCCCTGAATTAAAAAATAGATCCTGCCCAGTAACAGCTCCTGCTCCCAGCAACCCTGAGCCTGTGGTTTTTCCCAGGCTGTTGGGTTGGGTTTTTTTGATTTCTGATCTGCCTCATTCCTGAAAGCCTTGGCAGGAAACTGCAGCAGAAGTTTGTTGAGCTCCTTTCAGTGCAGAAAGCACCTGCCACCCCCAGGCTCACCAAGAATGAGCAGCAGTGGGAAGCTGCAACCCAGAAGAATCCAGGAAAGCCCAGTGGGGAGGTGGTTATGGCCCAGCTTTTGCTTTGACCTCCATAAGCTCCTGCCTCCAAAAGGACTTTCTGGTGGTTTCATGTATTTTTAGTCCCCTGTGCTGGGTCTTTTAGGAGTGTTTTTCACGTGGTGGTTCAGCCTTCACCACCATCTGCTGCAGGTTCCACCCTGCCTGGCTCAGCACTCATTGCCATTGCTGAGTGGATGTTGCTGATGGACCATCTTCTTCATCTGGGGGTGCCTGAGAGGTCTGAGCCCTGCTGGGAGCTGGACTTCAGCATGCATGACTGCCAGTCATGGCTGGAGTGACCATTTGCTTGCGATGTGGGGTAGTGAGGGCAACGAGTGGCTATGGAGAGGTGCAAAACAGCCCTGAGGAGAAGGGCTTGAGGGTGTTGGGTGATGAGAAGCTCGGCATGAGCCTGCCATGTGTGCTGGAGCCCAGAAACCACCCGTGTCCTGGGCTGCATCCCCAGCAGTGGGACCAGAAGGCCAGGTTGGGGATTGTCATCCTCTGTTCCACCCTGCTGAGACCCCCCTGCAGGGCTGGGGCCAGGGCTGGGGTCCCCAACACAAGAAGGACATGGGGATGTGGGAAAGACTCCTGAGGAGGCCACAGAGATGATGGCAGGGCTGGAGCAGCTCTGGAGCCAGGCTGGGAGAGTTGGGGTGTTCAGCCTGGAGAAGAGAAGGCTCCAGGGAGACCTTAGAGCAGCTTCCAGTGCCTGAAGGGGCTCCAGGAAAGCTGGGGAGGGGCTTGGGACAAGGGCAGGGAGGGATGAGATAAAGGGGAACAGTTTCAAGCTGAAAGAGGAGAGAGTTAGGCTAGATATAAGGAAGAAATTCTTTGCTGTGAGGGCAGGAAGACCCTGGCCCAGGTTGCCCAGGGAAGCTGTGGCTGCCCCATCCCTGGCAGTGTTGAAGGGCAGGTTGGATGGGGCTTGGAGCAACCTGGGCTGGTGGGAGGTGTCCCTGCCCATGCAGGGGGTTGGGACTGGATGATCTTTAAGGTCCCTTCCAACCCAAACCAGTCTGTGATCCCCTGACTCTCATGAGGCAGTAGGACCAGGGAATGAGAAGATAACTGGAATTCAACAGACTTGAGGTGACACAAATGGGAGAAACCAACCCCAGTTTCACACACACACATGCCCAGAGGTGGGCTGGGAGTTGGCCTGATGTCTCTCAGGAAGGAAACCTTGGGACAACCCAGTTGGTACCTTGGTGGTTCAAAAATAATTTGGACATTGCTAATTCTGGGAAAAGAGTGAAGAAGAAGATGGTACATGTTGTTATGTGACTTACTTGGGGCATGACAGAAGTTTGTGCTTCCTGAGGGGTCATGGAGAAGGTGTGTGGGGAGTGAGTGTTCCTTGCCACTACAAGTGTGAGGTGGCACCAGAGGAGGTGGCAGGTCCAAAGCAGAGGGCAGCAGCTCCACCCTGGATCTCTGCTGGGTCACTCAGTGGAAGACGAATCCCAGGAGGGATGGTAAATGCAAAGAGGCTGCCTCTTGGGAAGGCCCTGAGCTATAAATTGTTGGTGGGTGGGATGGTCTTGTGGACAGTGTCTGTTCCTGGCTCTAGTCCTTGGGTGGCCATGGGCTGGCTTGGTACAGATGCTCACACCTGTGACAGTGGCCAAAACCCCCTTTGGTTGCCAGAGACCTTGAAGATCATCCCAGTCCAACCATGAACCTAAGTCTACTGAGGCCACCACTAACCCATGTCCCTCAGCACCACATCTACACCCCCTCCAGGGATGTCCCTGAGAGGACCCTGTTCTGTGCTTGTGGCTGGGGAAACATGGGGGAGGTGTGTTCCTCAGGACCTCCTCTCTGCCTCCTTGGAGCCTTCCAACCACCTGCTTCTTCTCCACTGTGTTTCCTTCTCATTGCCAGGATTTTGCTTATTTTGCAAAGCCCCAGAGGGTGTTTTCTGGCAGCACTGCCAGGCTGGGGGCATCCCTGCCAGCCCTCCCACCTCACCACAGCTCTTGGTTCTCTTCCAGGTTGCCCATCAGGGACGTTCAAGGCCAGCCAAGGGGATGAAGGATGTGTCCACTGCCCCATCAACAGCCGGACGACCTCAGAAGGGGCCACCAACTGTGTCTGCAGAAATGGATATTACCGGGCAGATGCCGACCCTGTGGACATGCCCTGCACCAGTATGTGGGCTCTGGGCAACTGGGGAGAGGCTGCGTGCAACTGGGAGAGGAGACACACGTCAGTCAAAGCACCAAGGGGTGCTTGACAAAGCCATCTGGTTTAGTGGGGTTTGGGAGGAGGCAGGAGGGCTCAGGGCAGCCTGTGCTTTTCCTCCTGTGCTGGGCACTGGGGAGGGGGCACCTCAAGTCCTGGGGTCAGTTCTGGGCCCCTCAGGACAAGAAGGACATGGAGGGGCTGGAGCATGTCCAGGGAAGGGCAAGGGAGCTGGGGAAGGGGCTGGAGCACAAGTGTGAGCAGGAGCAGCTGAGGGAGCTGGGGGTGTCCAGCCTGGAGACAAGGAGGTGAGGGGAGACCTGCTGGCTCTGCAGCTGCTGAGAGGAGGTTGGAGCCAGGGGGGTCGGGCTCTGCTCCCCAGGAACAAGGGATGGGACAAGAGGAAATGGCCTCAAGTTGCCCAGGGGAGGTTCAGATTGGATATTTGGAACAATTTCTTCCCTGAAAATGTTGTCAAACACAGGAATAGGCTGCTCAGGGCAGAGGTGGAGTCACCATCCCTGGAGGGGGTGTAGATGTGGTGCTGAGGGACATGGGTTAGTGGTGGCCTCAGTAGACTTAGGTTCATGGTTGGACTGGGATGATCTTCAAGGTCTTTGGCAACCAAACCAATGCCATGAGTCTGTCCTTGCAGCCATCAGTCTTTCTTACCCTGGCTCAGTCTGCCCTCAGGAGCCTTGCATGGGCCAAGAGGACAGAGGTCCAGGTGGCTCTGGGCTGTTCTAGGCAGGAGGTGACTTCACTTGGGGCTGTACCTGGATGAGAAGACCTGTGTGTTGGCACAGGGGAGATGAGTGCAAAGGCCAGGAATAAAAAACACTGCCAAAAAGAAGTGGTGAATCTTGCTGGGGATGCCACGTAGTCAGATGAGCCTGGGCTGACAGGACTGGTCTTGTTCCTGCTCCTGCCTTTGGTTGTCCAGCTTCTCCACACATCCCTGACAGCAGGAGAAGCACCAGGCTCAGGGCTGCAGGGTCCTGTCTGGGGATGGGGAAAGGTTGGGGAAAAGGATGGAGAAAGGTTGGGGAAGAGGCTGGGGGAAAGGATGGGGAAAGGTTGGGAAAAGGATGGAGAAAAGAACGGGGAAAAGGTGAGAAAAAGGTTGGGAAGAAGGATGGGGAAAAGGTGGAGAAAATGTTGAGAAAAAGGTTGGGGAGAAGGATGGGGAAAAACACAGGGAGAAGGCTGGGGAGGAGGCTGGGGAGGAGGCTGGGGAGGAGGATGAGGAGGAGGATGAGGAGGAGGCTGGGGAGGAGGAGGAGGCTGAGGAGGAGGCTGGGGAGGAGGCTGAGGAGGAGGATGAGGAAGAGGCTGAGGAGGAGGATGAGGAAGAGGCTGAGGAGGAGGATGAGGAAGAGGCTGAAGAAGATGAGGAAGAGGCTGGGGAGGAGGCTGAGGAGGAGGCTGGGGAGGAGGCTGAGGAGGAGGATGAGGAGGAGGCTGGGGAGGAGGCTAAGGAGGAGGATGAGGAGGAGGATGAGGAGAAGGCTGGGGAGGAGGCTGCAGCTGTGCTGGGCCAGCGCAGGCCTCGGGCCCTCACACCTCTCTGTTCCCCCGCAGCCATCCCCTCTGCCCCCCAGGCCGTCATCTCCAGCGTGAACGAGACCTCCCTGATGCTGGAGTGGAGCCCCCCGCGGGACTCGGGGGGCCGGGAGGACCTGGTCTACAACATCATCTGCAAGAGCTGCGGGTCGGGGCGCGGGACCTGCACCCGCTGCGGGGACAACGTCCAGTTTGCCCCCCGGCAGCTGGGCCTGACCGAGCCCCGCATCTACATCAGCGACCTGCTGGCCCACACCCAGTACACCTTTGAGATCCAGGCTGTCAACGGGGTCACCGACCAGAGCCCCTTCTCCCCACAGTTTGCCTCGGTGAACATCACCACCAACCAGGCCGGTAAGAACTGGGGGCACAGGATGCGGTGAAACCTGATGGGGTGAGCAGGGCTGGAGGAGAGGGAGAGGAGATGGGTTGGTGTGCTCCTTGCTGTGTGAGGCTGGAGGGGGCAGGGAACTGCTGGGAAGAGCCCAGGGCAGAGGCACAGAGATGCTGGAGGGAGGGGAACATCTCCCTGCTGAGGAAAGGCTGAGGGAGCTGGGGCTGTTGGGCTTGGAGAAGAGGAGACTGAGGGGCCACCTCATCCATGGGCACAAATCTGTTCAGGGCAGTGTCAGGAGGACAGAGCCAGGCTTTGTGCAGTGATGTCCAGTGACAGGACAAGGGGCAGTGGGTGCAAACTGGAGCCCAGGAGGTTCCCTGGGAATCTCAGGAAGAACTTGTTTGGTGTGAGAGTGCCAGAGCCCTGGGCCAGGCTGCCCAGAGAGGCTGTGGAGTCTCCTTCTCTGGAGACATTCCAACCCCCCTGGCCACGTTCCTGTGTGATGTGCTCTGGGTGCCCCTGCTCTGGCAGGGGGGTTGGGCTGGGGGAGCTTTCCAGGTCCCTTCCAACCCCTGTGATGGCAAAGCAACCAGGCAGAGGTGATCTGCACAGATATCTTGGTCACACATGAACCAGCAGAGTGGCCTCTGACCCCTCAGTTATCTGGGGAGCCAGGGGGTCACAATGTTCCCAGTTCCTTCTCAGGAGCCCCGAGGGCAGATGAGCAGAGCACTGACCCGTGGGGTGGCTGCAGGCAGGGACATGGTGGGAGAGAATCACAAAATCACTGCAGAGTTTGGGTTGGGAGGGACCTTAAAGATCACCCAGTCCCAACCCCCTGCATGGGCAGGGACACCTCCCACCAGCCCAGGCTGCTCCAAGCCCCATCCAACCTGCCCTTCAACACTGCCAGGGATGGGGCAGCCACAGCTTCCCTGGGCAACCTGGGCCAGGCTCTCACCACCCTCACAGCCCAGAATTTCTTCCTAATATCTCATCTCAATCTCCCCTGTTTCAGCTTAAAACCATTCCCCCCTTGCCCTATCACTCCATGTCCTGGTATAAAGTCCCTCCTCAGCTTCTCCCCAGAGGAACAGGTCCAGGACAGAGACCTGTTGCAGGTTCCTGTGCAGAGGCAGCTGGTGGGTGTGATGCTCCCCGGGGCTGAGAAGGAGCTCTGCACACCCAGCCTGGTCCCAGACAAATGAGTTGATGCTCAGGTTTTGCACTTTGCAGTCCCATGATGTGCTCGTTGCCTTCACACCTGTGGCCACGTCCACCTCAGCAGAACCAGGGGGCTGAGTTGCAGGCAGATCCTTTTTGGTGCCCCCCTGGATCCTCCTCCTCGTGTTTTCCTTTTCTGACACTCCTTTATTGTCAGGGCTCACACTTCTCAGCCTGTGTCATGTCTCTCTTCATGCATCTCTTCATTAGCACTAAACAGGAACTGTCTGCTTGGTAATTCCTCTGTAATTAGAGGCTCTGAATTCTTTTGCTTCCACCCTGGGCCCTGCCTGGCAGCCTCGATGGAGATCATTAGCAGTTGGTAGCAGGAGCTGCAGACACAAAGGCAGGAGAATGGAGTGTGTTGTGGGGAGAGGAGAGGGATGGGCATGGGGAAGCAGCAATTACAGCCTTTCCCTGCCTTTGCTCTGGGTTAAGCTGGACCTCCATCTCAGGCAGAGAAGAGGACCAAATACATGATGGGCTTGTGGTCCTGCCACAGCTGGACAGGCCCTTCCTTCCAAGGAGCGACTTCAGGGACCTCCCAGCCCTGAAGAAAGCAAGGCAAAGCCACCCTGGGTCACCCAATGGAGCAACCTGGGCTTGGTGCTTGCAGGACTGAGGAGTGAAGCCACATCACCAGCAGCATCTCCAGCCTTCAGGTACCAGAAATGCTTCAGCATCCCAGGAGAAGCTGCTGTGAGAGATTCAGAAAATGATCCCTGTGGAGCAGCCCAAGGGCAGGTACTGAGGGGGGCTGGAGGAGCAGCACTGGGGCTGTGATGGTATGGTGACCATCATCCCAAAAGGGACACTGGAGCTCACAGAAGGTGACACACCATTCACTTTCTTCCCCCAGAGATGGCTGTGGTGTCCCAGAGGCTCTGAGTCTCACTAACATTGGCCTTCCCATCAGCATAACTTGCTTTGCTGTGTGTTGAGGGAACAGGACATTTCTGCTCTCAGGGACACAGGCAGCAGGTGGCTTCACTCAGGGAAAAATACATGTAATCATCCTTTCTTGCTATGGAGGTGGCTTCCAGAATGTGGATCTTCCCACAACTCTTTGTGGAAACTTCTATATTCTTCATCATTATTTTTTAACTAGATATTGGACCCAGTGGCAGCTCCACTGCAGATTTCCCTTGCTGGTCTCCCTGTTCCCTTTGTTCATCCAAGTGTAAAGTGGTATCTCACTTGCCCTGCCAGCAGCTCTTACCTCCCTGGTGGCTTCTGTCTTGGTCCTTTCAGATCCTTGGTCCTTTCAGATCCTTGGTCCTTCCATCCATGCAATCTCCCATTCTGCAAGACCTGCATTTTGGTTTCCAGACCCAAGCACAACCTTAGAACCCTTTTCATGGGCTCAGCCACCAAGCCATCATCAGTGCTTTGCACCCAAGTTGTCCTTCCCAGCCCTGTGACTTGGCCAGCAATATCTCCCAGATCTCTCATCATTTGAAGGGGAGGTTCTGCCCCCACTGTGCTGGACACAGGATGAGTCCCCCCCTGAGTCCCAGCCTTGTTTAAACCTCATTCCTTGTGTTGTGGATGATGCTGAGCCTGGTGTCTAAGTCTGAGCACTCTGCTGGACTCCTGAGTTCACAAAACCAGTCAAGACAGGTTGACAAGAGGTGCTCCCATGAAGTCGTGCTGCTGGGCCTGCCTTGGGCCATAGGATCCCATCAAGGTTTATGGAAGGGACATCTGGGGTCTCTGACCCTCCTGTTTGCAGCAGGACTATCACCAAGAGCAGATCTGCTGTGGCTTTTTCTAGATGAGTCTTGTGTAACCACCTCTCCTGTCCCAGGACTACATCACCCTCCTGGAAAAGATGCTCTGCATGATTTCCAGCCTGATTTGTGGCTTGTGCTCCTTGTTCCATCATCTACCCCTGCTGGGAAGAGTAGGTTCCCACTCTCCCTTGATGGAGCTCTGAGCAGCTGTAGGTGCAATTAAATTCACCCTTCGTGTCTTTGTTGGCAGCTGGGCCAGCCCAGCTTCCTCCACAGCTCCTGTGGTGCTGCCTTGGTCACCCTTTGCTGGATCCTCTGCAGTTCCTCCTGGACCCATGGCCTCATGTTCTGCTTTGGCCAAGTTGCTGTTGGCCTCAGGCTGCCCAGGTTGTTGCTGACCTCAGACTCCCCAGGTTTACCCTGTGCATTTCACTGCAATGTTGGCATCTCTTCAGTCCCACCAACAGAGCCACCAGCAGTGCAGACACCTCGGTGCAGAGAGGAGCCCTGAGGGACAGGCCACCTCTCTTCTTAAGGAGAAGGCTGGTTGCAAGAGAGCAGCCAGCCCCAGCCCCTGCTCAGAGGTGGTTTCCTGGACCTTCCTCTTGTCCTAAAAAGCCCTGAGGGGTTTAACCTCCAGTAGGACAGGTTTTGATGGAACAAGAGATGTGTTGCTTCCCTTTTCAAAGACAATTGGAAAGGACCAGGACCAGCAGAACATAAGTAAAAGGAGCCTGGAATAATCATCACCTTTCCAACAACTCCTTACTCCCCCATCTGTCTGCAGCCAACCCAACAAACTCTGGATAATCCCCACTGCCTTCCTGGAAACATCATCTGTCACCTCCAAGGCCAGGTTGGGTTTTCTCTCTGCTCTTCTCAGCAGGCTTCTTCTTGACCCCAGCTCCATGCTCCACATCTCCCAGCTCCACTTCCCTGCCTCTCACACTCTCTCCCATCAAGCTCAGCAGCTCTTCAAGGAGGGACATCCAGGATTTGTCACCTGCTGCAGCCAGTCCTGCCTTTAGGGAGGTGACCAAAGGAAAGGAGCCCATCACACAGAGATCAGGTGCCACCACAGCTCTTTCCTCAGCCACAGCAGAACAAAAGAGCTGTGCCAAGAGGGTGGTTGAGAGCTGTGCCAACATCCCAAGAGGGACAGCACGGGAGGGAGGGCAGGGTCAAGGAGCTGAGGGTGGCCCAGCACTTGGGATAATGGCACTTGACTAATTGCAAGCCATGGCAAGTGCCAGCCCCCTGGCTGGTGCCAGCACACAGCCCCTGCTTGCTAATTCCTGGCTAATTCAGGGAGGATTGAGGAGGGTCCTGGGACTGTGGGGAGTTGTAGGTTTCATCCACACCCTGGGCAGGCTCAGGGCAAGATGCCAAAGGAAGGGCTCCCTAGGCAGGGGGGGCTTCAGTAGCACATGGGGAGGGAACCTCTGGAGGACAGAGTGTGGCTCCTGTGAGCTGAGAAGGGAGGATGAAGCTCTGGGCTGGGCTCTGGAGGATCCAGAGAGAAATTCAAGCCCTCCCAAGTGGTGGGGGAAAGAGAACATGCAGGTTGTTGAGAATGGGTCCCTTTTGTGAGCAGCTCTTGTGTTGGGTGGGCTAAGAAGGGAGGATTCACTCTGGTATCAGAGGCACTTGGCTGCAAACAGAGGCAAAAAGAGCCATGAGCAGCTGGTGCCACGTGAGCACCAGCCAGTGTGGGACAGAGGACAGGGACACACTTGCCTGATCAACACACCAGGAGCAGCAGCCAAGCTTTCCTTTCTGGTGGTTGTCACAGCCCAAGCTCCTCCAGCCCAGCCAGGTGATGGGGCAGGGCTGTCCTACCAGGGCTCAGAGGGCTCAGGGACACCTGAACATCTCAGTCGTCCAAAGCAAGCACGTTGCCCATGGCTCTACTCTGCTGTGATGCCCTGTGGCTGGGCTGAGTCCAGTCTGGTCCTTATGGACAGGAGGGGATGTGCTGGGGGTGATGAAACCCAGGTGAGACAGCTCCTGGGAAGTGCATCAGAAGGGAGGGTTTCCCCCTCACCTACAATCCAACCAAA